GGGCGGGGGGGGCGGTGGGCTTCTCAATAGGAGCAGGGTAAGGCAGTCTCTGCAGCTGTGGCTCTAGCAGTGCTGTTGCTGTCTAAAAGCATGCTGTGTCTTGGGACCACCTGATGCCCAGTTCTTCGGCTGGAGGGAACGGGCTTTTGTGTGGGGACTGGAATTGTCTGGATGCCTTGGTGTTTCTAGGCTCACTTGTGGCACACTGCCCAGAGAGCTCCTGCTGTCCCTTTGTTCTGCCTGGACCCTTTCAGAAGAGTCCTATTTAGTTGGATTTATTTGCTTTATTCTGAGAGCCTCCTTCAATTCGATTTGAGCCCAAGATTCCTTTTGTTCTTTTCTGGGATGGAGGCAAAGTCTCACATGTCCCAGGTTGGCCTCAAATTTACCACGTAGCCAGGATGGCCTTGAATTTCTGATCCTTCTGTCTCCCCACCTGTCGTATCCCCCAGCATTGGGACTACAGGCATGCCCACCACACCTGGTTTATGTGATGCTGGAGGTCAAGCTCAGGGCTTTGTGCAAGCACTGCATCAACAGAGCCACATCCTCAGCCTCTAAGCTGCCTTAGTCACTCTCGTGAGAGTCCCTTTTCACAGGAAGAGAAATTCAGTCCTAAGCCCAGAAGAGTTCCATGCGCAGGTGGACGGATTCTCCCACCCCTTCCTCCAGCACATTGATCAGATCAGCCCGTAGCAGCGCAGTTTGAAATGATCCTTGGTCTGTCTGAGACTGAGCTCAAGAGAGCAGGCCCTTCATGAGTTCTTTAATTGTCAGTTGCCCAGGGCCTAGATCACACTGTTCCTGACACAGAGCCAAAATTTTTTGTTGACTAAAGTGGCTTTAACTCTCTTTGCTCAGCTTCTTGCTTGTCACATATAAAATTGGCTAGGAGGAAAAAACAAAGTTGTGTTTAGAATTGAGCAAGACAGTAAATGATGTGAAATGTTTAGCATACGGTAAGCCAAACCGAGTCACCGGTTCAGTGATGGTCTGTTACCATATTCACATACACGCTCCCATGCCCCCCAGCATCTGCTGTTAGAGCTAATGACCCGTTCAAAGTGTCATGAACGTTTGCCGGTGGCAGTTGCCCATTGGTGAGGTGCTTGTGTTGAAGCCTAACTTTGTTCTTTCTTGGTCCCGTTTTCCTGGACAGGTCCTGCAGCTGGGCTCAGACATCCTTCCCCAATACAAGCAAGAGGCACCAAAGACTCCACCTCATATCATCCTGCACTACTGTGTATTTAAGACCACGTGGGATTGGATCATCCTGATCTTGACCTTCTACACAGCCATCCTGGTCCCTTACAATGTCTCCTTTAAAACCAGGCAGAACAATGTGGCCTGGCTGGTTGTGGACAGCATCGTAGACGTCATCTTTCTGGTGGACATTGTGCTGAACTTTCATACCACCTTTGTTGGACCAGCGGGGGAAGTGATTTCTGACCCCAGACTTATTCGCATGAACTACCTGAAGACATGGTTTGTGATTGACCTTCTGTCCTGTCTGCCATATGACGTCATCAACGCTTTTGAGAACGTGGATGAGGTTAGTGCCTTTATGGGTGATCCAGGGAAGATTGGTTTTGCTGATCAGATCCCACCACCACTGGAGGGGAGAGAGAGTCAGGTACATCCCTCAAATCTCAGACCTTGTTGTCCTGTCTTTAAAGCTGAATTGAATGGGGGTGGTCAACAGAAGAGTCAATGAGGGGTGGGAGCCGGCATGAATGACGTTGTGACACGGGGAGCATGCTTCACAGGTTTCCCGCCTGCTGTTCCTGTCCTTTGGAGGCCCAGAGGCCCTGCATGTCAGTGAGCGGGTGTGGAGGCGACCAAGGCGCACCCTTCCTCTGCAGGGAGTGCAGCCACTGGCTGGGGGAACAGGGTGCGGAAGACGCCATGCATGGCCACGGCACTGGGAAACCTTCTGTTTGGTACTCAGTCACTGAACAGCTTTTCCGTGTTGATTATTCTGATTATGGGGCCTTTTCTTTATCGGCTGCTGACCTCTGGCTGTTCCATAGGCTGTCAACTGGTGGTAACAGATGCCATTTCCTCCCACGTCTCCCTTATCTGGGAGTAAATGTTGGGGTTTTGCTAACCTTGGTTTCGGACGTGCCCATTTGCTGGGCTGATCAGGTACCTGCTGGGGTTGAGTGTGGTGGTTTTGGATCCCATTGCTTTGGATTTTAGTCTTGTAGACAGTGGAAGGCATTCAAGATTAGTGTTCTGTAAATGTGTTAGAATTAGAACATGCTGAAGCAGACGTTGAATGGCTGCCTGGGACAGCCGGGACAGGAAGAGGCCCCAGGGCAGGTTAGGAGCCAATGTCTCCTCTGTAAAAGCAAGGTTGCCACAAAGAGTAATGCAGATTCTTTTCTGGCTGCGTTCTGTGGGGATTACCCTCCCTGCTCCTCCTGGTTCTCTGGATTACCATAAAGCAGTTTACTTGAGCCTCCAGCTGGTTCACTGTCTCAGATTACAGAGGGTGGGGAGGATTAACTGGGTGGGTACCTAGTCCCTGCTACCCTCAGGGTGAAGGGCAGCCTTGGGACAGCTGCCAGGAGGAATCTGCTTCTCTCGGGGTAGGAAGCCCTGGCCTACGGCGTCTCCACGCCTCTGACTTCAGACCTTCAGCAGCAGCTGCCCAGGGTACCAGCCCCTTTCTCAGGGAGAACCAAACACCGGGCCGTGTTTCTCCCAAAAGCTGCCAAGCTGGGAAGGGAGGGCTTGGTGCTCCAGGGTGCTCAGTTCAGAGCAGCAGCTGCCCTGCCGCTGTGCTGTTTTAAAATGGCTTGTTTTATTTATATTTTGAGACAGAGTCTTGTTGTACAGTTGACCTGGAACTTGCTGTATACTTCAGACTTGAAATCTTCCTGCCTCAGCCTCCCAAGTGCTGGCTACAGTTTTTTGTAATCACACCCAGTTCTTAATATACGTTAAAATCTCAAGGATTAATTCCCTAGGTGGCTTGTGTGGATTTTGTAGGGGGATCAGAGTCAGGGCAGATCACTCACAAGCTTGGAATCTTCTCTGAAGTGAGCTCTAGTGTAAGCTGGGGTTGGAATTTTCCTCTGCGAACACGTCTTTAAAATGTTTTGTTTTAGTGAAAAAAATGTGATTGTTTTGGCATAGGTAATTTAAATGAATCATCTTAATCTAAAAGAGCATTTGGTTTACATATGGGGAATTAAGTCTTAAGAAAAACCACTTGAGGGGCTGGGAGATGGCTCAGGGATTAAAGAGTTAGAAAGAAAGAAAGAAAGGAAGGAAGGAAGGAAGGAAGGAAGGAAGGAAGGAAGGAAGGAAGGAA